TGAAGAAGCCCCCCAAATTATCCCCACCCTCCCCTTCTCCTGCCCCCCTTCCCCCTGGGCCCAGCCGAACTCTTTGTGTTTCTCAAACACCCACCAAGTACCCACAGTCAGGTTTTCCCCACAACTAATGGGTAAAAATTCCACGGGTGAGCCAGAACTGAAAGAAGGACACCTAACCCCCAACACCATGGCATTGCTGTGCTGGGGGCTGCAGGGTGGGCTCCCCACCGGCCTTACTGGTCCCAACAGGACAATCCCATGGCACTGGGCCTGAGCCACCCCTTCCAAAACCTCCTGAGAAATTGGAGCACAGTGTCACGGCAGGGAGGAAGGATCCCTGGCTCCAGGGAATCGCTGACTGCACCATCCTCACCCTGCATGGTAAGTGTAATTTTGGGATTCCTGAGCCTTGGCCACGCCGTGCTGTGGGTGAGGAAGGGGCTGTTGGCTGCATCCAGGAGCCTCTTTCCTGTGGGAATGGGACAAACCTCAGCTCAGCCTCCCAGGGTTGTGCTGCTTCAGCTGAGGGATCTGTTCGGCCACAGGACCAGCCAACAGCTCTCTTGCCCCTTCCCTGCTCCCTGCGTGCCCACAGCTGCTGCATCCCAGGAAGCTTGGCAGGGAAGTTGTTTGTTCAATAAATATAGACAGTGAAATGAGGCGTTGGAAAAAGAAGGGAAAAAACAAACACCAAACCCTCTTTGTGTTTGCGCAAGTGGCCTTGAATCCCAGACAGGATCGATCCCCGAGCCTTCCTCCCTTCCCGTGTGGCAGGAACGCTTTGGGCACCTGGATCTGGGGAGATGGGGGTCCCTGCTCCATCAGGGCTGGTGGGAGGATGTGTTCAATGTGTGCTTGTGCCACATCCCTTCTCCAGGCACCACAGGTCCTCCAGGACAGCGCATCCCTGCTCCAGCTGGAGCTGCTCGTGGCTCGCTCATCCTGGAGCAGGCAGAGGATGCGAAGCTGGGAGGGGAGAGGGACTGAGAGCACCTCCTCATTCTTCTGACCCTTTCCCCACCTGGATCAGCTCAGTCCCAGCCTCTGGGGTCAGTTGTCAACCCTTGTAGGGGTTGGGGACATGGGGGTCCCCATTCCATTGGGGCTTCATGGGAGTACCCGCTACAGGGTGCGTTCATGTGGCCAAGCACTGCCCTTGGCTCCTCTTCCTCGTTCTCCACATGGGACAATGTGCATCCTGCCCTGGCTCCAGCCAGCCCTGCTCATGGCTCGTCATCCTGGAGTGGGGAGTGGATGCAAAGCTGGGTGGGGAGAGGGTCTGGTACCATCTCCTCCCTCTGCCGACCCTCTCCCCACCTGGATCAGCTCTGTCCTGGCCTCTGTGGTTGGTTGTCAGCACTTGCAGGGTGGACCTTAAAGCTGAAGTGACCCCTTAGGGATGACCTTGGGACCCCCCTTCCAAACGTCCCACCCCAGCAGCTTCTCCCCTCTTTTCCAGTCCTCGCACATGGGGGACACGTGGGGAGCGCTGGAGAAACCTGAAGCTGCGGTTACGTAACGGGGCAGATGTGTCGGAGCCGCCCTTTGTCCCCCGCTCTCACGGCCCTGACATGTCCCACTTTGCTGTCACCAGGCTGGCCAGGGCCAGCAGGCCAGGGATGAGCCAAGGGGATGCTCTGCAGTGGGACAGCTGGGGGCCAGGGGGGTTGGGAGGAGTGGTCCTGGCTGCTGAGGCTGCCCCCAAGTCCATCCGCTTCAAAGGGCAGAAGAGTTTCTCAGTTCTGTTCTGATTTGGGACAAGGATGGCCAAATGCAGGGTTTTGGTGGAACAAGGGATTTGGCAAGGAATGGTGCCTTTCCTGGTGGGAATTACAGACCATCTGTGTCCATGCTATGCCCTGGGATGAATCTGGGGTTCTGCATCCCCCTGGGAAAGGCAGCTGAGGGGCAGAGAGCACGGGAGCTCTCTGGGAGCTGTGTGGAGGTGCCCAGTCCCACTGCCTGGGTTTTCAATGGCAGAATGGCTCTGGGCCGTGCCACCCCAGGGCTGCAAGCACCAGGGGCACTGGAAGATGTGCTGGTGAATGACAGGGCACACACGTGCACACACCACGGCTGGGAGTCTTTATTGAACACCAGCTAGCCGGGATGCTTGGAGACACCTTCCTCCCACTGGGATGGATTTCTCTTTCCTCTCCCTGCTCAGCCACGTGTCCAGCTGAGTGGGGCCATGGGGATGACCCCTCTCTTCTGTCCTGGCCAGCCCCAGCAGCCCAGGGGAGCCACTGGTGGGTCCTGTGCTGATGGAGCCGCACCCAGGGCGCACCAGGACCTTGGGCTGGGATGGCAGCGGGACCGTCCTGATCCAGGCTCTGCAGCATCCGGCAGGAAAAGGCTCTGGAGTCCATCAGGAGCCAGAGAGGAATCCACGGGCAGATCCGAAGGGAGAAAAAGCCGTGTGGGAGGTGAGAGAGGAGGGGACTTGCACATTCAGCATCACCCTTGATGCTTCACCCACAGGAGGAGAAACCCCCTCGGGCAGAGCTCCTGCCTCCCAGCCGGGAGCCAGGAGGAGGGAGCCCCGTCCCGCCGTGTCCTGTCCTCCCGCCCGCGCCGGCAGCGCTCAGGTGCAGCCGCAGGAATCCACGATCATGTCGGGGATGTCGGTCTTGACGATGTTGCTGTCCCGGTCGTAGTAGAGCAGGGAGAGGGGCCGGCGCTGGGTGGGAACGCAGCAGGAGTCCACGGCCGCCGCCGCGCTCGCCGCCTTGATGCGGTTGAGGACGGCGGTGTGGAAGGAGGCGGCGAGGCCGGGAACGCCGGCCATGTGCAGTGGGCACAGCCCCGTGCAGTAATTCATGTGGTACCCCTCTGGCTGGATGATCCAGTCCTCCCAGCCGATCTCCTTGAAGTCCACAAAGAACTCCTGGCGGCAGCACATCCGCGAGTCTGCGCCGCAGTCGACGCCGCGACGATGAACGCGGTGGGGTGTCCTGGCCTGGGCTTGGGCCACCACAAATGGCCAGTGGGAATCGCTGTGGTCCGATGGGAGAGGGGACCCCCAGTCCTCTGGCACCTCCAGTTCCACCGTGAGCCGAGGGGTCTCTTGTCCGAAGAGGCTCCGGATGGCTGCTCCAACGTCCAGCGTGGTCCAGCCGGATCTCTGCACCTCCAGCCGGGTCTCGCTGGCCACCGTCACGTTCGGCCCCGCCGGGTCTGGCCGCAGGATCCTGACGGTGACGGGCTGTGGCCCGCGGCCGGGGGCTGCCCAGAACAGGTAGAGGGTGGCCTGCAGGATCTCGGTGCTCCCGGCCACCTCCTGGGAGAAGCGGAAATGCAGGCGGACGCTGTGGGAAGTGGAGGATCCTGAGCACAGAACCAAGAGTAGAGTCAGGAGGGAAGCAAAGAGGGGACTCATCTCCTTGCCATGAGCAGGGACACCTTTCACTACCCCAAGTTGCTCCAAGCCTCGTCCAGCCTGGCCTTGGACACTTCCAGGGATGGGGCAACTTCTCTGGGCAACATGTGCCCACCCTTACAGGGAGGAATTTCTTCCCCAAATCCCATCTAAATTTCCTCTTTTCCAGTGTGAAGCCATTCCCCCTTGTCCTGGCACTCCAGGTTGTTGTCCAAAGTCCCTCTCCAGCTCTCTTGGAGCTTCTGAAGGCACTGGAAGGGGCTTTGAGGTCTCCCCAGAGCCTTCCCTTCTTCCTTGGCTGCAGAGCTGCAGCTCCTCCTGGCTGGGAAAGGGCTGATGGGGCCACGAGAGCACTCAGGGCTCCTGGCACAGCTCTGCCCATGAGGACATAACCCCCTCCCTGTGCTCCAAGCCTGGGTTCACCCCCTGGCTCGATTCCAGCCGACGCTCCACCGAGCCAGGAGACAACCCCCCATTGTCCTGGGGAGCGGGAGCACCATGTGCCACGGAGCAGCATTGTCCCCAGAGGGCTTTGAGGACACAGGGCCTGTGAGGGGAGAGGAGTCCCCCAACCTCACCACGAGGAATTTGGTCTGGGAAAGTGAGGGTGCAGGATTCTCAGTGGGATGGGGTGATGAATCTGCATCTCTCCAAGGAAAGTTGTCTGTGAAAAGTGGGATGCTCTTCTTTCCAGTGTCACTTTTCAGGAAGCCTGACTGTGTTTTGGGGAGTTCTCCCAGAAGCAGCAGATTCCGGAGTGAAATGAGGAACCAGGTGCTTTGGGTGGGATGTGGAGGCACAGTGAACTGTGCAGCTCTGTCCACACGCTGTGGGCTGACAGGAAACCGAAGCTAAAAATCGCATTTCTGAAAACGTGGCCATGTGACCCCTTCACCTCCAGCACACGGGGGAGGGTTCAGCCGAAGTGGGCAACAGGTGACACGATAGAGCAGCACATCTGCACTCTGTGCCACCCCTGCACGTCCCATCCGTATGCGAGGTTCAGGAGCCTCACACCTTCCAGCAGCAGTGTTCCTTCCATCCCAGTGCACAGCCCAGCGCTGCCGCGCACCTCCCAGCTCTCTTCCCTCCCTTCCCTCCCTTCCCTCCCTTCCCTCCCTTCCCTCCTTTCCCTCTCTTCCCTCCCTTTTCTCCCTTCCCTCCCTTCCCTCCCTTCCCTCCATTCCCCCCCC